TCCACTTAGAGAGTCCAAGATCTAAATGAGATTTAGATCTGGAAGCCTCCTAATTGGATTAGGAGATGGCTGATATGATCTGCAGATGAGATAAGGGTTATCCCTTATCACTTAAAGGGACTTCTAATCCAAATATGATTTGGATCAGCAACTCCTAATAGGATTAGGAGCTGATCCCTTTAAGATTATGAAAGGAGAAAACGGCGGCAATCCTTTTTGGATTGATGTTCAATTCTCTTCAGTGCTGAAATCACAAGAAGAGAGAATTCTGCACCCTGCGAATACTCTCTTGTCGCCTCCTTACTGCCGCCGCCATTACTTTCAATTCAATCTCCAGTTCTTGGGGAAATCAAGTTCTGATCTTGATACCAATCTTTTGGGAAAAGATTGATTGGAGCTGTACTCACAAGCCATCCAGTTGATTCTTGCGAAGGGTCAAGTTCTTTTAGAAGAACATTGCTAATTCTGCTCCATCTTGCACTGCGCCATCTTCAGTGGGAGTAGATTTTGGATCCTTCCTTGGGTGTGAACACCTCCATTGGGAGATACTGTTTCTCCGTATCAGGTACATCCTCCTTCCTACTCCTTTTGGTTCAGATCTAGTTTGGTTCATGGTTCAAGATTGATCATTGAAAAATATGTTTTTCTAAAATAGGGAATTCGATTCCCTGCAAAGATGGGAGAAATTTTTTGAAATTCGCCCAGTCCATTCCGCAAGACTTGGGCGTCCATGTGATGGATATCCCATCCCTTCAAAATCATCATATTTTTAAAAATATTTTTGTTAGATAACCAATCGAGAATTGGTGATTGGATAATTGGCTTACTATTTTGATATGATTTACTTACTAACTCACTTTAATTCAAAAGAGAAAGAAAAATGCATATAACTACAAAAGAGTATTATCAATCTAATCAAAATATATAGTAATAAAATAGAGAAAAATCAAAATGGCAAGTGACATATTTAATGGAGAGAATATGTCTAAAAGACTAAAAGGGAGACAAAGAAAAGATACGTATTAAAGTCTTAATTTTCTCCTATTTGATTTATATTGTTCTTTGCTATGGTTTTTTTGAGCCTAAAATGTGCAATTATATTTCTAATTATTCCTTGAGGGTTTATTAACTAATTTCATGTTTCTAGAAAACTTTCTTGACTTTTTAGATTGTCCAAATATCTCAACAAGATATCTCCAAACTTTTTGCATCTTTACATGGGGAAATGTCTGTCTGTATCAAAATTGCGAACCATGTTACTATCCTACTCATTGGTCTCCATAAATTTCTTTAATTGTTTCACTGGTTATGAAAACATGATTTTTGCACATTGTAATATGTTTTGGATTGGTTGGTTGTTAGGTTGATACAGCAAGACATATTCTTTCAAGTATTATTAGAAGACGGAATAAGGTGCCTTTGACAAATAGAGGAAGCATGGTAAGTATTTGCATTAAATAAGAAAATATAAACTGGCTATTACAATGGATAATTATAATTGAGGGTTATTTTGTCTTATAGTAGGTTAGATAGACACTTTTGGGTGTAGGGTTATTTTGTCTTGTATATTAAATTATGTTTCTCTTTTTTTTCATTGAGTCATGTTACCTGTATTTGGAGTATTTTAAAAGATACCCAAGGTGCACACCACCTCCAGATGAGGAGCTAAGAAAATGCACAAAGGTGTACAGGAGAGGAGCAGACATACATGGAACTGTTTTATGCAAGAGGCATATGCTTCATATTTTCTTACCTTTGGTCCAACTTTTTATAATAGAATATTATAAATAACTTGTCTTGTAGAAAAATCATAAAAAGAATAAAAGAATAGCAGATATTGGAATGAGAGAGAAGTGGAAAGAATGAAGAGAGAAGAATGTAGAAAACAAAGGGGAGGAAAAAGTTGAGCTGCTGCCCTTCTCTCATATTTACATTAAAAATAAATAAATAAAAGCAAGTATAGTGACTATAGTTCCACTGGCCACCCATATATAAAGAATAAGACAGAAAGTCAGAAACCAACAACTATATAAGAAAAGTAACAATAAAAATTAATAAAGAATAAAAACAATAAATGAGTCAAAACAGATCATTCAATCCCCCTCAAGTTGGTTATAGATATTACCTATTCCCACATTCTTAAATCAGTTTCATACTTATATTTTGCCACTCCTTAAGGCTCCGCTTGGTTTGTGGGATGGGGATGAGAAGAAGGGAATATTCCAAAAGTATTCCTTTTTCTCTTATTTGTTTGAAGGGAAAAAGGGGGATGGGATGAGAAAAAAGTGGGATGCGAGATCCCAAAATTGTGTAATTGGGGTCGCACCAAAACCGTGCGACCCCAATGGAAAAACTCGAGAAAACTCGAGTTTCGTCTTCATCCTCATCGCTGCTGGTAATCGCCGCTGTCCTTCTACCTTCTGCCGCCACCACCGCTGCTAGTAATCGCTGCTGCTGGTAACCCCTTCTGTTAGAAGCATGGGCTCTGTGAGCTGTGCCAAATGCATCATTCACATACAGGTCAGCAAGAGAAGCTAGCTTCTTCGCAAACTCAGGGTCATTCTTCTCTTCCTCCTTGTAAAACCTAACATTCTCAAGGAGTAGAACACCTCCTTCTGGGATTGCAGCCACCAGCTTCTCGACTTCCTCACCGATACAGTCATTGGCCATCTCAACCTATTAAAAGCATATGCATGAAGTAATTAAGACGAATCTTCCGCCATGGTAGAACCCAGATCGGAATCTGCCAATTCCAGTTTCACACGAGGTAGCACCGTTGATGACGATCCTCACCAAGGCATTCACCGGCAATAAGGGCGGATTGATCTCTGCCACACGGGATTCCACTTGCCCCATGCTACTCGGGTCAGGGATTGAACCTCCGAGATCTCTGTTTTGTGTTGGGTAATTTTCCTACTATTTTCCCATGTAAAACCAAACAATGGAAAGTTAAATTTTTACACTTCCCCATCCCATCCCATCCCATCCCACCCAAATCTTCCCACAAACCAAACGGAGCCTAAGTGAAAATATTGGCCAGCTTTATATATGAAGTAACATTATATTGCAAATAGACTTCTTCAGATCCTACCCTCTCTTATAGTTTCAATTGACATTGATATGTTTAGCGGATATCCCTATCTAATACATTCATGACTACCATATTATGTCCCTTGACCTGAATTCTTCTTAGGTCCTCTACAACCTTTTACAGTGAAAGAGATTTGGGGAAACCCATTCCACATACAGTAGGAGCATTGGGAGGTTTACCTTGATCAATTAACACTTGTGACTTGCAATAGAAAAGGAGACCTTACTCATCATTGGTGTGTCGTTTGCAAGGCAAATGGTTAATCTTGTTTTCAGTTACTAATATCTTGTCCATTTGCTACTGGCATTTGGGAATGGTTTCTTGGTTTGTTTGTTTATTAGTGGAATCCTCCATCCAACATGTCAAGTGTCATTGCTCCCACTTCATTTATTTGGCCAAAGAAGAGAGGAGGAACTATATGGATAAGTATAAGAGCTTCAATAATGAGGACAATTTGGGAGGAGAGAAATTCATGGTTTTTCAAAGAAAGAGAGGAGTAAGTAGGCAATGATTGAATGCATCACCACTGGAGTGTTTCAATGTCTAAAGTCTCTAGAGATGTTCTTGGACTAATTAATGGATGATATTATTAGGTAGTGGCAAGAAGTGGCTAACACATCATCAGAGAAAATCAGGATTAGTAGATTCTTGACACCTTTGGTTGATTTTTTCATAAAACTTAATTTTGATGGAAGCAGTAGAGGGAACCCAGGCCCTTCAGATGTAGAAGGCGTTTTTAGGAATAAATCAGATCATGTGGTGGCACTATTTTTCAGGTCTGATTGGCATTGATGACTCTTTGATGGATGAAATAATGGCAATTCTGGAAGGAATGCATAAAGGGAGCTGAATGTGCATAAACTGATCATTCAAGGGAGTTGCAATTGGTGATCAATTGGCTGCTAAATATGGGGAATGATTTTTGAGTTTATAAAAATGAATTAAGAAAAGGTAAATAGTTACCCTGGGGAATGAATGTAAGAGTTCAATGGATGCAAAGGACGACTAGCATCATGGCTGATTCCTTAGCTAAGCAAGGGGTGGGGAGGGATCATATATTTTGGACTCAATTGTAAAAACATAGCGGTATTTGGAGATAAGATGTTTTATCTCCATCTACTATTTATATAGTTCTAATTTACGTATTCTAATCCTATTAGTGAAAGTTAGTTATTGATAAAAATAAAAGAAAAACCATAATAAAGTGGATGCAAGAGACAATAAAACTCCTATAGGGTTCATCCAGGTAGTACAGTTCTCTAACTTCATGACTGCCACTAAGAGAAACTTGGGTATATAAAATTGTCTTCTCTGTCTTGAGTAAGCTTATTTATAAACAAGAGGCTAAAGGGAAACTTGGGTACATAAAACCAATGTAGACTCATGTCAAAACTAGAGACATTACCAGTACCAATAATGAGAGAAGAAGAGCTATCAGCAAAAGTGATAGTCTAGGATGTAGAAGGAGATAGAGACACAAACATATCTGTGCATGTGAAGCGAATTGAGAGCAAAGAGAAAACAAAATTAAGGGTGTCCAGGATAGTCAACTCCCGCCCCAAAGAGTCTCTTTTATATTAATGAGATAAAAGATATCTACAGTTACAAGAATGCCCTTACAGGGCTGAATGATAAAAAGAACAAATGAAATAATAAGAGTACGGTACTATACAACAAGGACTATTCTAATAATGTACATTAAGGTATATCTTCACACTCCCCCTCAAACTAATGCGTAGACATCAGCATCAGTTTGGCCATAAGAACAAGGTGTCGACTTTTAGTCATGGCCTTGGTGAAGATGTCAGCAATCTGCATGTGAGAGGCTACATGAGGAAGAGATATGGGCCCTGCAACAAGGTCTCTAATAAAGTGACAATCCACCTTGATATGTTTAGTTCTCTCATGAAAGACAGGATTAGATGCGATCTTGATAGCACTGGTGTTGTCGGCATATATAGGGATAGGAGTAGGAAGAGGAGTACCAAGATCCATGAAAAGAGACTTCAGCCAAACAATCTCACTACATGCAGAAGACATAGCTCTATACTCAGCTTCACTAGAAGACTTGGAGACAGTTTGCTGTTTCTTGCACTTCCAGGAGATGAGAGAGTCACCCATGAAGACACACCATCCAGTAGTGGATCGGCTACTGTTAGGACAACTAACCCAATCGGCATTAGCATAAACCCTCAACTGTATGGATGATGAGGAAGAGAAAAATAGTCCCTGAGAGGTTGTGTCTCGAACATAACGGATGATGCGATGAACAATAGTCATATGAGGTTTCCGCAGGGCAAAGATAAATTGACTGACGACTTGAATAGCATGTGAAATATCAGGCGTGGTCATAGTGAGAGATCAGAGAGCCAACAAGTTGACGGTACAAAATAGCATCAAGAAGGAGGCCTTTGGATTTAGATAGTTTGACATTCATCTTCAGGGGAGTATCAACATGCTTCTCATCAGTAATTCTAGCTAATTTGATGAGATCAAAGGCGTATTTTTGTTGACAAATGAAATACCCTCGACTGCTACGATGGACCTCCAAACCCAAGAAGTAAGAGGACCCAGGTCCTTCATGTGAAATGAGTTATGAAGTAAGGACTTCATCTCACAAATCCCATCATGATCATCCCTAGTTAGAAGCATGTCATCAACATACAATAAGAGGATAGTGATACTCTGGGGTCTTCTCTTAACAAAGAGAGAGTAGTCAGAGGAACTTTGATTATACCCAACTGCAACAACATCCCGGAAGCGCTCAAACCAAGCCCTGGGTGCTTGCTTCAGACCATACAGAGACTTATTTAGGCGACAGACACGTGAAGGATCACTGCAATATCCAGGCGGAGGTTTCATGTAGACTGTCTCCTTCCGTTCACCATGAAGAAAAACATTCTTCACATCTAGTTGGTAAACAGTCCAAGAATGAACAACAAATATGGCCATAAGAGTCCAAACTGTGGTGATCTTAGCAATTGGGGCAAATGTTTCTTCATAATCAATCCCATATTCCTGACTGTATCCTTGGGCAACTAACCAGGCCTTATATCGATCAAGGGAACCATCTGACTTCAGTTTGATCATATAGACCCAACGACTTCCAACAATAGAAGCATCTGGAGGAGCTGGCACAAGATCCCAAGTATCATTCTCATGGAGGGCTTGAATTTCGGCATCCATGTCTTCTTTCCATTGGGAGCTTCTAATGGCTTGCTGATAATATCTAGGGATATCTGTGGAAGAAAGTACAACAGAAAAGGAACTATGGTGTGAAGGAAAACCATAGCGGTTAGGGGGTCGAGAAATACGGGTAGTACGACGAAGTGAAATAACCGAACTACTA